CTGTTTTATGACCACTCAGACATAGTACTTTTGAGATCCACTTTGCAAGTCCACTAGTTTGACAATTTAGAGCAAATAGGACAGAAGTAAGTCTATATTTAGCACATTTTACATCTTAACTGCGCATATGCTCACAGCTGCTCTCTCCAGAATGCTTAATTGTGATTCACAAATTAGTCAAGTTTATTAGCGCTACTCTGTGCCATGTATGACAGTCAAATAATCAGTGCTGTTTCATTTCAGTAACACCAGAGTGAGTGGTAAGAAATTTGGATTGTGATAATATGTTAAAATAATGTAATTTTTCATGTAACTGTTAAACTAGCATACTGCTCATATTTCAATCTGACTTTTGCTACTGGCTTATTAATAACAGAATTAAAGTTCTTTGCCTTTCTATGCTTCCGAAAAGAATAATCTCTTTAGAAGTTTTAAGTGTCACTCTGGGTTTTACAGTGTCTGCTTATGTTTTATTTTTTTCCCCCAAATTAAAACTCTTTTATACTTCAAAAATAAATAAGGTTCTTAGCAAAATTTTCAGAATATTACTTAGAATGGTTTTGTCACTCAGTAAGAAATCAATTGTGCTAGACAGGTTCTTTAGGAAAGCATTGAGACAGAGTCAGTCTCCAAGTCCAGCACACATAGAATTAATTTCTCTTTAGCTCTCCCTGAACTATTTTGAATTTCTTGCAGATATTTTATTCTTTTGTCTGATCTATCTGATCTCTTTCTTGATATTTTAACATATTCTCTCACCTAAAACTCGGCTTCCCACAGCTGTTTCTCCTTTAGTGACGGTTCTTTGCTTTGTTCTGATGCAAATTTTACCAAGGCTGCCCTAGGCATTGCCACGTGTCTAATGTCATTGTCAATGTATAATGGGGTCAAATACCCTTCATTAGGTATGCCAGCCTCACCCTTAATTGGGTACAGAGGTTCAGACCAGGAGTGTTGCTGAGAGAGGAAAATCTGCACAACTTTTCACTGTTCAGATATTTAAAGGATTTTGTGTTTGGGTTTTGTTGTTTGGTTTTGTTTGGTTTTTTTTTGTTCTGTATCATGAAGGATCACTTGCAGGCTTTATTTAACTCTTTGCTTTTTTTTTTTTTTGAAGGGCAAGGGGCATTGGCAATGCCTTCATCTCTCCTGTCTTCTTACCATACTTTTAACTAGGTTGTGTTGGAAAGTTTCGGAATCTTCCATACAGTGCATGGTGTTGCAGAACACATGTTGTATGGGCCTATCTATGTTTCACATCTACTGTGAGATTGCTAGCAATTACAGAAGCCTGGCTCCAGCAACACGGCCTGTCTTGTGTTCCTTTCAGTGGACAGGTAGTCAGAAAACTGAACTGGATCCATCTCTGTCCCCCTTGAACATCTCAGGGGACAACTGCAGCATATGACTTTGGCAGCGTAAAGAGGATCTTAACTAAGAAACCAGAGATCTAATGGCTTAATAACTATACAGAAACTACTTTTTATAGTATGTACTTCACAACCTGCCTCTGTTTCACTGAGCCCCTCAATTAAAACAGTATTTCTCTGTGAACAGCTTCTGAGACTCTCTGCTCAGCAGCTCTCAGTGTCTTGGTCTTTCCTTCAGTACAAGTTCAGAATACACAGGAGATACTTTGGCATTTGGGAGTCCTGCCAGAGTAAAGTCTGGACTCCTGTGGCATTTTTGGAAAATGGGAGGTAAGTAGCAGAGAATCACGACAGTCTGACGAAGGAAGGATATCTGAAAGGCAGGCGTTTTGGGGACACAATGATGATGCTAAGTAGCGTGGGAGAGAGGGCACTGCCTGAGATTTTGCCAGTAATTTGGCTAGCACTTCAAAGCTTGTGAGACTTCCTGCAGAATTTCCATGAGCCACCATGATCCTTAGCCTACCTTAAATTGCTCCTGGTCATCATGACATTCTGAATTTACCAGTGGTCAGCTTCCAAATTTGCCTCACATAATTGTTCTCATCTACTGGCTCTTGAAGAAATTGACTGAAGAAAACTAATTTAATATCTCTAAATGTACTAGAAGAATATGAAAAACTGCACCATAACTCACTTATTGACTATGCCTTTCTCAAAGTTGCTCAAAGAACTTGAGGGCAGTTTAAATTTCACTAAAATTAGTAACAATTGTTACTTATGCTGAAGGTGAAGACAGAAGGACCTTTCATGAGGTTTTTGGGACATAGAGAATAGTGCTAAGTAATTCTCAGCATGAATTATAACTTCTTGCATCTTTAGCAATAGGTTTTCAATGTTTAGTTGGCTTTGTATTAGAGCAACTGGTGAATTCGGTTTAGAATTCAGTTCAGACTCAGAGTAACACCAGAAGTTAGTGTATCAGGTTAGTGTGTTAGTTAGGCTGTATTTCTCCTTATCATGTGAATCTCAGAAAATCTCTACTCTGTTGCAAAGTATCCATGTGAAACAAAAATAAGTGCATGTTGTAGCTACCTACTTCATACCAAAGTGCAAGTTTCCACAGACACAAACTCAAGTGCCTATTACAAACTATAGTCCTGAAACTAGGCTAAGATCCTATGCACTCAGCCTCTACCTCCATCATTCCTGTTCAGCAAAGAAATTGGAAATGGTCTATTAAAAAAGACTTTTTCATGTGAATATGTTGATAAAAAGGACATGAAAGAAATATCTCTGAAGAAATGTTGCTCTCTTTAATCTAAAATTTTGCTTTTCTAGAGCTTGTTCTCTATGAAAACTGCTGGACATGTCTAAAAATTGTCATCTGTCTGTTTAAATTACAGAGCATTAAGTAGAATTACTTGCAAATGATATAACTGCAGCCTGAATATGGGCTGGTTTCTACCTAAACTCACATCCAAGCACCTCTAATGAGACAGCCAGTAGTGTTAATTGGTGAGTTAACTCTGCAATGTTGATTACTGTCTGCTAGGAAAGGGATCAAGCCCACCATCTGGTTTTCCACAGATCACCACACAACTGAGTGATGCTAACAACTTACTCTTGCCAAACTAGACAGATGGAGTTCAACCACTGAGTGTCTTCCAGACTCTTTAGCCAACTGTTCCCAACTTCTGAATATTTCCACAACAGCAAAAAACTCTCAAAACCCCCCGAATCTTACCTTTGTATGACCTATTAACTGTGAACTTAGAGTTCTAATGAGATATATGTGCTGCAAAACTACACAGCTAACAATGACTGTAAGAAAAATTTTGAGCATTCTGTCATAGTAATGAGAAGACTTTTTTCTCCCATGTTTTATACTGGATATGTCTATAGGTTTCATCAGCAGGATTGGAGCAGTGGGTTCATCCTAGGCTGCACATTTTCATTAGTTCTCCAACTTGAGTCCCAGTCCTCCTGGTACTCTGCCACTGCTGTAGGTGGTAGTGAAGCTGTGAGCAGACTGTCACTAGTCATCTAAAGCTAATTGGAACATGCAATAACAGCAAAACCTCTTGTCCAGCCTATATATAATTTCACACATTGACAAATTTATGGGAGTCATATTGGAGGTAGATGACATTGAAAAAATTCCAAAAACACATTTGTCATACGCAGTATAGACAAGGGACAGTCAAAGAATTGCACTCTTCGAGGTTGGATAGCGTTTCCAAATATGCTTAATTTGCTCTACCTTTTCTGACCGTTGTAGATAAAACCCGTAATTTTTTAACTCCTGATATTAATGGGGCCCTCATATTGAGAAAATACGTAGTTATGAATTAAAAGCAATTATGATCAAATTCTGTTGATAAATATGAGAGACTCTCATTATTGTTATGGCAACAAAAGTACTTTATTTTACCAATATGCAAATTAATATAATTGTCTCCCAGAAAAACACCATCAAGCTTGAAATTAATTTGAAGTAACACTGCAGATGTGGTGCCAAGCAACAATAATAGTAAAGCCCTAAAATTTCAATTCCTAAAAGAGTTGTAGGAACACAGCAAGCAGATTCATACGGAACAGCTTTATGAAGGACCTTAGGGCCTACATATGCTTAGGATATATACCCTTGTCTTTAGGTGCTAACATTTGGGTTTTCATCATCATGAGCAGATTAACAATTTTATATTGTAAACTAACGAGAAAATAAAAGTGAAAGTAGTACAGTTAAGCCATAAAGGTCTGCCTTACCCTGTAAAGAGTGGCTATTTCATGAAACCTAGGATGTCATTTAGAAAATCTGTAGTTAAAATTATCAAAAGTGATCTTGCAATTATATAAAGGAAAATTGCTTTCGAAAATTGCATGTTTTTCTTAGACGATTCTCTTTCTAATGTTAATTCTAAGTCAGTATTTTAAAATTTACATTTTGGTGCATGCCAAATCTAAATACTGTTTGATGTTCTGGATTCCTCTCCATATACTCTCAAAAGGCATTTAATCAGGTGTTATCTTTCAATCATTTGAATAAGCAACACTGCCACTGTTGCCCCAATTGCATCTGAAAGATGCATGTGTGAGATTGTGGGTGCCTGAGAGAGCTTTTAGTTAGCTTTGATTGCTTGGCATTTAGTACTCAGGTTTGCATTTATCAAGGCACAACTGAAAAGGCTGAGGCTCTATTATATGACTTTGCCTGGATAATCTCATTCATTTAGGATTTCTGTTTGATATTGCAAGGTGCTAATTTTTTGACAGGTTAGGTAAATAGAAGTGGCATCCTGAGTATTTTGCTGCAGCTGACTTTGGTAGAAAACTATATAATTGAAAATCTTCCATTCAGTTATTGTATCTGATTGAACAGTCCATAAAAGAGCTGGTTTTGTTTGTTTGTTTGCTTAACCAAAATTCTGTTGAGGAATAACTAGAATGATTAAATGACTCTTCCTTAAACTTTAACATGCAGCTGTCAAAGCTGAGACTCTCCAAGCCAGAACATTCTTATCAGTGCAGAAGAATTTGGGAACTCATTTGTAATGCAAATCGCCGAGGCACATCGTCATTATCAAATGCACTGGAGAACAGAACATTTACATTGAAGACATTACTCACCAAGAATCACAGCAATGACGGTGAAGAGCACAAAGGCATTCCTCATTAAATAACTCTTAACATCGTCCTTTGTTATGCTCTGCACTTTTTTTTTTGCCAAAAGTGTACGTTTCCGGACTCCTTGCTGAATGCGTTCCATCCTAGTTCCAGGCTTTGGATCTTCTCCGTTATCTTTAGTCATCTGTCCTGCAGAAAGTTTTCTTTTATAATTAACTTCTGTCAAAATCCCTTCAGAAAAGTGGAAGGCTCTTTTCGGTGTGAGGTACTGGAGAAACCTGCAAGACAAGAAATATCAAAAATCCCAGTAAAATTTTAGAGGAATGATTAGCCATATGTTTACATGGAAGCAAACATTCTTCATGTTTCAGTAAAACTTGTATTGTTTGTGGTAC